TGGTCAACAGCGTGCAGAGGAAACTGTTGAGAGGAATGCTGGTCAATTCCAGACCCCGACTCCAAAAAGCGTCCATCTTTTTACCCATTTGTGGGTCAATTTTGTGTTGAGCATCTTCAATTTTGTGCCGAATTGCATGGAAAGGAAGACGAAGATCAGTTCGACCTAGTGATAATGAGCAAGATTAGAGTCAATCGCGCCAGAAGGAATATATTTTGATGATATTGGCGTAAAGTAAGCGTCGGTCATCCATGGCCTAGCCCCAGAGACAAGAATAGCAGATATATGCAGTCGATCGAGTGAATTAATAGAGTGAAACTTTAGCAATCAACGGTAGATCTTATCGAAATGCTTGCGCAATTGGGTGCTCGAAAGTATGCCGCGATAGCAAATTGCAGAGACAAACGGTTGTGTATGGGTGAGTATGTGCAAGAACAAGAATGTAGTGAAAGAAATAACCTAATTGTAAAAATTATTGTAGACACGAATAGTAATTGGTTTTCGATTAATCTCCTGAGATAGCATTGTTGTGGAGACCTTCATTTCGTATGAAAGTGCATGGAGAACAGATTCGTAGTTTGATCTTACCAGAAGACGACGGCTGAATCCCGTTGTAGTGTAAGTGAAGAAGACGTAGTGTTAGCATACAACTTTTACAAGAAAGAGTTCCGGCTCTGAGGATGTCCATCATGTTAAAGCTCAACCAGTTTTCATCTGAAATGAGGGAGGAGGTCGCAGTACAACGGGATTCCACCATCACCTTCAGATGAGGTCAACGCACAAATCTCTTCTTCATGCACTTCCATACGAAATGCAGGTCGCCCCAACAACGTAAAAGTTATTGACTATTAATTGAAACATCGTTGGTTGCTCTGAAACTCCTGGCAATCCAGGTCTAACACCCAAAAGTCCTCCTTCTCAATGCTCTCTCTCTCTCGTTACTGTCCTTCCGGTTCCATCTGCTTCACCTCCAAATCGCAAGCATACTCTTTAGAATGACAATTTTTCGGGATGCCTCTCTTCCGTCCCTGTTCAACCCTATTCTGCCATTTTTCTTACCTCTTTTCGCCAGGTCCCTCTCTCCGATCGTCTACGAATCAGTATTCATCGTCTCGCTCTCATGCCACAACTTACGTGTAAGAGCCGTACGTTTTACTATCGCCTATGCCTACTTAGTCGAGCATTTGAAGACAGTAATTGGCCGGGAAAATGCGGGAGGATGCAGAATTAAATAAAAAACAAAACAAAACAAAACAAAAGAAACAAATAATAACAGATAATAGCAAGAAAGCAGGCATAAAACAAGGCAGATAGTGCGAAATAGTAACACAAAGCTAAGCTATGAGAGGAGCTCTTAACAAATGATGATCGAAATGCATGACAATAGGCCTATTGCAACCCATCACACTGCAGTGCACCGTTTATTCGTGCATCGGTGCACCATCGTGGAGCGAAACGTCTCGGTACAGACATGGCAGCACAAATGCTGCCAATGGACAGCAAGCTCAACTGAGGACTGAACGAAAAAAGGGTCCACCATATGTGGATGAACATATCGAAATGCATATTGTCAAAATATGTGTATCGTGTAGGCAGGACAGTCGATCTGAGCACAACTGACTGTTTGGGAAGAAGAGAAGGCCAAAGCAACTGGGGGTCAGACAAGAGAGTAGACAAACTATGTGGAGGTGTGCGGGCGGGAGGACACAAAGTCGATTGTAGAGATGACCGAAGAAGCCATGTCCGAGGGGCACGTCGTGGGTAGGCAAGTTGTGGTCGGGTGCTTGGGCGACGACTCATGCTGGCCAGAGTGACATGAAGCCTCGTTGTCGTCAGCATCTTCCCTTCCCTTTATAGGCGACATTCACAGTAACATCGTGAAAATGAGCAACGGCGAAATAGTATCAAAGAGATGGAATACATCGACTCAGCTCAATTAGACTCGGCATCGCTTAACGTCTTCAAAGCGCAGAAATAATCGACGCCATCGGTTCCCTCTTCCTCCTTACTTCAAGCGTCTCCATCCTCGAAACTAAAGCCCATTTTTATCCAAACCAAACTAACCGAAAACGACCTTATCAACACCTCCTCTTCGCAGACTTTGACCGTCAAAATCATAGCATATCGTCTAGCTTTTTAAGAGAGCGAAAGAGAGACAGAGTGGAAAATACATATTTAAGAGAAATCTTCAGAATGTAAACAAATCGAGTAGGATGTCGTGAGTCTGCTTTGGAATTAGTTTCTGACATTCAGACTCAAATGAATGGTGGTCGGACCAGTCAGTTGATCCCTTGCAGTAACATGTAAAAGTCCGATGCTAATGCGACAATGTATGGATGCAAGGATCTTTATAAATGACCAAGGCAGATGGAATGACACAGATTGACAAATCACAACAAAGATACTCCATAACCGCAAATGAGCGAATGCATCGTCTGTCAGGTGAACAAGTACACACATCCATACGCACATGCATACAAACATACACACATTTGCTAAAATGGGCATTAATGTGAGCATAGTTTCAGGCACGACTTGTGTCGTTATTGTCGTGAGATAAATGAGAAATTCGAGTACAAATGAGATCTTTTTAGAGCAGGCCTTTGCGTACGCAAAGCTCATGGATGTGAGCATGTGCACTAGATTCGAAGAGAGAAATGAAGTCAATGTCACAGAGAAGCACCATAAGAAAGGGTCTATGACAGCAAGACTAGAGAATAGTGAAAGCGTGTGCCATTGGTAGAATGATGCCTCCCGGGCTGATAAATGATCTACCCGAACATTCTGGCTAACTTCAGTATGCAATGCGGTGTCTGGGGTCGACCTCGCCTAGACCTCATCAATACCCCAAACGGGCTTCGAACCTGGCACCTGTTATTCCAAGATGCATTACCGCAAAAAAGAGCAGTGGTCAAAATTACGCACAACTAAACGGAATAAATAAGTGCATTTACTTGCAGTAATGCAAAGTAAAATAAGATAACCACACATTGGGTTCAATATCATAGTTAGCTCAATTTGGTTTTTGAAGATGCTTTTAGTAAACCAAGAATATCTCATCTGAAAACGTCCAGTTTAGAATACTGGTCCGTATCTGTGTGCTCGATCGGAGTAACAAGTGTGCCTCCTATCCTCAAATACTAAGCTGACCGTTTTTATTGAGGAATAACATTGCGCTGAGGCTCATGTATAAAGACGAAGATGTAGGGGATCATGCGCTTGGCTGGATAGAAACTGTATGGGGAGGTCACAAAAAAGTGATAATTTGGGCTGCCGGAATAAACCTTGGTTGATTTAGGTCGTAAACATGAAAAGAGGTTGAGTTGTGGTGCGAAAGCAACACACGTTAGCAGGAAGGAAGCTTCAATTTTAGATTGGGCACAAAATACTAGTACCAGAGTTACCACGAGGGGACTTGAGGATTACATTTTAAGTTTCTCACAATAAAAAGAGTAGAAGACCTTAGCATTTCATGCAACTTCATTTGGCATTACCTTACAACAGGCTTCTAGATCCAGTCTGGAATTCAGCATCAACGCCTCGTGAACTTTAGCAAATGCTTACAGTGAGACTGATGCCAATAAGGCAAATTTGTATTTACCATCGCAACTAACAGCATTACATAAACATGAAATGAGTAGATAGGAAGAGTAACTGGATTTCGATTAATCTCCTTAGATTCGTAGGTCGATCTCACCAGAAGAGGAGGGCTGAACCTCGTTTAGGAAGCTAATGAGTAATTGATGAGAAGGATTTGTGAGAAGCGGGGACAGATAATTCTACGGCTGATTCTTCCATTCATTTCATTGCAAGAAACTAAATTATTGAGGAAAACGTTAACCTGAAAGACTTGCGAATGTTCGAGTTCACTTGGAAGATCCATTAATACCTCAAAGCCAGCTTATTTGATACGAAAAAAGTAGCAAGTCAAATGGAGAAGCAAAATTAATAAAACTAGATAGACTCTTATGAATGAATGAGCACACACAAACACACACAAACACACACATACATACAAAAAGTAGGGCTGCTGAACAGTCGTTTGAGATCCATTTAAGCCTTGTAATAAAAGCGCTTGGAACAACAACAGCAGAAGGATATAGCGGTTTCATTTTGCCAGAGGTTTTCATACAGAACCTTGTTTCTCAGGGTCCAGGGTCCGAAACCCGAGGGGATCATTGATAACCCATGGGACGAACGAAAGCGCATTACATGCTGGATGAAAGTACATCTTGCAAGAGGCCTGCAGAGCAGAGTGGAATACCTTGAGAAAATTAAGTCTTCTCAGACAATAAGTCCTACCACACCACTTTACAATGGCTACATAGAATCAATCACCAAACCCCTACGAGGTGTGAATGACCAACTACTCCATCAATTTCGATATTCGCCCTATCAGCTGGATGGTTCAGATGAGGTCTACACCAAGTCGGTGAAGGTGCTAGCACATGACGTGTGGAAAGCCTAATTTCATACTTGACTCAGCACATAATGTGCAGACTTGTGTCTCGAACGCAGATCAAGTGGATTTCAGCATTCCAGTAGGAGACTTACACCCTCTTCACTGTTTGGGAGTTGGTTTTTTTTTTGTCAACGCAATCACACAATCATCGGTAGCAAATTGTACACTAGAAAGAGGAGTAAGGATCAAAATGGTCGCTCTGCCGGTGATGTGAGCTTCTGCAATCGCATCGGGAATGGAGTCTTCGAGGAGTCATGGCCCGGACTACACGACGTCTCAGCCCAACTAACATGCTGTCGCAGAGGCAAGGCCTCAGGAAAATGATTAAATGAAGGCAACAGTGTCATGCCCATAAGGACTAAACCTTTTGATGTCAACGAATACATCATTCGCATATGAAGAGAAGTTTGGTTTCGCAGAATCCCTTGGCAGATTGACGTCTGCATACGGTTCATTTGGTTTAGAAATTCGGGTGGAAGGGATTGGTAAATCAGCCATACCGGATACCGAAGGAGAGCTGTTTTTGACGTATGATTGCCGAATTGTGCGAACAAGACTTCGGCTTACTGTTCTGCGACGCCGAGCCATCCGTGCTCAGCTTTCATTCGACATGTGGCTAGAAGCCATCTGTCGTGAACCAGCACCAAAAAACACGAAACCTTTCGTGATTTTGTGTTTTGGTGATTT